CCCCCCCCGACACAAATTCCTCTCTAACAAGGGGCTGGCGGGGAAACCTCTCATGCTATCCAGCCACTGGGGCGATCAAGTTTAAACTTCATAACCAAACAGGGCAGAGACAAACCAAATATTTGCATTAACTGAAAATGGTTTTAAAGCATCACCTTCAATGTCTTAGAAAATACATGGAAGGGAAGACTAGACAAAACCACTCAAAAAAACAGGTTATACAAAGCTTTTAGGAAAATACCTGAGTATAGTCTTTATTCTTATTAGCAATATAAAATTAAGCCTTTATAAGTACCCTCCAGTTTAATTGATTTTTAAGGTACTAACATTATGTTAGGATCTTTTCTAAGTGCAAGAGCAGAACTGGCAATCCTGTGCCCTACGTTAGGTGTTACAAAAAACAGATCTCTTAAGAAGGTAGTGAGGTAAACTGGTCAAAGGTTACTTCAAATCAAAAGGTTAAAGGCTAAGTAATGTCTAAACTGGGGTGCTGGTCTGAAACTAAATCGCCCACCAGCAGTCCAGCCTGTCTGTTCTCCAAGGCCTGATCCTGAATGCCAGGTTTTCCCTGCTTGGTCTGAAAACCCTTTGGAGATGCCAACTTGCACTTTTCATGGTGTACCAGGAGCACCAGCTCTGCAAAGAGGGTGCCTTTCCCAGCTACAGCTCCTGTTAAAGCTGAGCTTTAAGGGAGGACACACATCTAAACTTCTTGTGGGCACGGTAGGGTTAGATAATGGAGGGACTTGAGGATCTTAAAGATCTTTTCCAACTATAACAATTCTGCAGTAGAACGTTTGTTGCAGGTAGACAACAGAAGAACACTGCCAATACATCCTTGGACATTGGCACTCTGGTATCTGCACTTGGTAGCAGAAGAGGCTTCAGGTCAGGCTGACCCCCTAAGACACTCAAGCCCCAGAAACAAAACAGTGAGTGTCTTCAGAGGGGACCACGGTTGGTTTTTTGGGTTGTTTTTTTTCTGCTAACCACACAGGAAAATGTGGGCTGTTACATTGGGAAGAACAGATTGTGCCCTGCCCCTGTCAGGACTGCACACAAAAAATACTGGAGGAAGCCCCTAAATTAGGCACAAGGGATTTCACTCAAAGTTGCTTCCTGTTTAAAAATAAACAGACATGTCAAAAAAGGCCAAAAAAGAAGCCCTTTTGAAAACAAAGGCGAAAGTAGTCCATCTATAACAGAGGAATTAAAAACAACCCCAACTGTAATTCTAAGAAAAAATATCCCCGATAGCCAGACCGAAGCTTCAGGCAAATGCCTGCTCTGTCCTGCCCTTTCAGTGTGCCACAGAGACAAGAATAAGGAAAGTAAGTAAATAATTCTACACTCACCCAAACTGTTTCAGTATTCCCGGAAGCATTTCAGCCAGCTGATCCATGGAGGGATACACGTACCTACAACAAATGTGTTTGTGGAGTTACTACACAACTTTCAGTACAGTAGGCTGGTATATTTAGAAACATGGCGATCGCTGTAGATTTAATATCAAATGTGTTTATTATGAGGTCATTGACAATATGAGCTGAACTTAAATCAGGAGCAAGTACAATTAATTGATTTAGCAGAAATACAAGCATAATCTATATGGTACTTTGTAAGTTACGAGATGATACATGTCTGTTCCAGCTGAAAGCAAAGAGATCATAATGAATCTCTTCCAAGAAAAGTTAACCCTTAAAACCTTTTTCATAAGTTTGAACTCAAAAGGTGAGTTTCAAAACACATTCACCATGTTCTGGTCCACCACAAAAAAATTTCCCCATGTTGCAGAATTAGACTACAGCAAGGAGATCTAGATCTTTCCCAAATAATTTGCATGCTTGTTTTCAGGGACACACAAATTACCACAGGATATATGAGGACAGGTTTCCATTAATGTTGATGGAGAAAATGAAAGCGTAGGAAGGACTACGAAACTGCTAAGTGCAATAAAAACCAGCTGTCAGTTAATGTTCCTGGTCTTCTGCAGAGCAGGGAGGAAATTCTGAGCAAAGTCTCAGCTGAGCAGCACATGGGAAAAATCCATCCAAAGTAGCTGGAGTACATCTGCCTAGGATGTATCCAAGTCTCTGCTTCCCACAAGGGCTACACCTAATGATTCTCTAGTTTAGTCTCCAAAATAAAACCAAACTAAAAAAAAAACCCAGTGCAAAACTACTTCAAGTTATTTTCTTAGATTTTATTGTTGGGAAACCAAACCTTGTCATGACAAAAGGTAGTGTCACCACAACAGCTATGACTTTTAACTTGAGCACGCTGATCTCCCAGCTGGAGGGCTGGGAGAGGTAATACAGCTTCTTGTGCTGTCATCATGATGTTATTATGCAGTGGTCTTTATGAGCATAGATCATGATGGCTGCCCTATGCACCTGACAACTCGGAAGTGTTAATTTTTGTTCAGGACAAGAGTTAAGTTACTTAAAAGCAACAGGTTAAGTCACTTAAAATCTTGTGACTCAAACAAATACAAAGAGGAGTGACTGAAATAGCTTTGTAGGCTGCTCTGATATAGACAACTGGGCCATTGCAGTTAACACTAGCTGAGAACCTGGCCCATTGTGACCTCCTCAGCATCAGACCAGCTTAAAAATTAAGAAGGGAAATAGACTGGCTCATGCCATAAGGGCACATATAAGCTTCTTAATACCTACTTCTTACAGAACAAATGTTCCTTGCCTTGTACCCTCCCCTTGGCACGCTGGCTGTTCCCTTCCTCAACCAACCTGATTCTTGTCCAAGGGGCATCTTAAGTCAAACCTGACTCATTTGAACTAAATGGGACAAGCATTTTGGCAAAGACAGTGCTCATGGCACACAAGGTTTCCAAGAATTACAGCATCATACGTGACGCACAGTCAGGAGTAGCAGCTATATATTTTATGAGAGTACATCACTTTGTTACTGTCCAACAGCTTGTATTTTCCAGGTAGGTTAGCAAATCTACTTACCAACATCTACCATGATGATGTTTCATTAAAAAAATAGATTAAGAAAAGACATTATATAGTGACTAATGCCTATCTTGTTTATACCAACAATTTAGTTTTGTGTTTGTATTCAGGATGTCATTACAAAACAAAGGAACTTAACATTTAAACTGAAAAACATAAGCATCTGTCAAAGAACTGCTTTACAAGCAGTCTAATCAGACAAAGCACAAAATTACAGCCCCAAAGTCTACTGTGAACTGGCACAAAACAGAGCTCCCAGAATTTCAAGAACTTAAGAGTATCAGGATTTAAGTTCAAAAGCCAACTACTGTGCTTGCTGCAAGTGCTTTTTAATTAAACCGCAGATCAAGACACTCT